AAAATCCACCGTGTGGTCCCGGGATAGTATAGGCCATCCCTTCCTTTCCCGTGGGTGTCGTAAGAGACGACTAAGAGAGGGTGAGGGATAAGCAGCAGCATCCTTCTTAAAACATCTCTCAAGCCTTTTTTTTATCGTGGGGAAATGTCTCATGAAGACCCATATGCCCCGGGGGAGGCGTATGGGTACTGACGGACTCCAACCGGCTTAAACCACCACGGCATCCCTCGCAGCGCCAAAGTGTTGGGGACCCGGGTTCCCTTTCGAAATCCACCGAGAACATCTCTCAAGCCTAGCTGCGGTTGCCAATCCGCCTGTCAAGCGTGACAACTACTGGGCAAAACCCCCCGAGTGGGACGCTTATGTTTAGCAGTGGACAGTCAAAGGCTGATACGATAATGATGAATATAGCAAATATTTATTTTCACATTATAAAATCTAAGCACTTTAATAGAAATAGTGTGATTAGAGAGTAGTGTAGATTAAAAATTATGTAGTGCCAAAAACGAAAAAGATTTATCTTTCACGAATGATATATGTATCGGTAGGGACCGCCCTAGACAGATGTGTGTTGGCCATATATGTAAGCAAGCTAGGTAACGTGGTAAAAAAGGTCCAAGTTAAAAGTTTAGTAAACTAAAAGAAAACAATAGTTTTGACCGAGTAAAGACACTAGACTGAAATTATAAAAATAATCCCTCTTTTACATCCTGTATAAGCCTTCGACATACGCCGAGATAATACTGTTCACGAACACGACTCAGTAACTATTTACGCATCACGAATCGCTTTATCATCATACAATCACACATACATAAATTTTGGTTACTGCGTCATTATTTATATAATGTTTGGGTATTCCATCTTTCTTTACATATTTAAAAAAGAAGCACCTATTCCATACGACTGACTTTTACCCGCAGCCTGATTTTAATGATTACTTTTTCATAAATTAATAATTTTGTCAAGATAGAAATCTTTTTTTTTTTATTCGTGGAATAAAATCTTACATTACAAAAGTCGAATACAAATGTACATTATCATTAAATCGTCTTTTTTAATCTTTTTTTATTCTTCTAAAAATATTGTTTACTTTATAATAAAAAAGGTATATTAGTTAATATTTATTTATAATAATAGATAATAATAACCTTATCACTGATATTGTGTGAGTCACATAAAAATTTATACATAAATACATAATATGACTCTTAAACAGATGCTAATCTTAGAAAGACGTGGCTTATAAATTTATAAAATATGTCTTTGTCTCGTATTATGAGCAAATAAATTTAATTTCACTAAACAATCAACTTTTGCACCCAAAAAAAAAAATCGTACACTAAACACACTTAAACCATGAAATGTCTCATAGATACATCAGATTTGATTATTTGAGGGAAAATATTTAAACACGCACGAGATACAGTCTATCTATCGTGTGTACAGGTAGATTTTGCTTCGTTTATAAGCAGTATTTTGCACAGCAATGAAAAATGGCATCTTCAATCAATTGTAAAAGGAATTGTCAAAACTCATTCAGAATTGACAATCATCTTTGTAAACTTTGACAAATAAAATAACAGTCGGAGATTATAATTATCCTGTTATCAGTTTATCTCTGTTTGAAGAACAGACAACTGGTGTTTTTTGACTGTGGCTTCCATTAGCATTTATTATTGTTACAATTCTAACACATTCATTTTCAGTAATATTTTAAATTAGTAAGGAATTTTACATAGTATTTTTTATTACAAATAATTTTTTGAAATTAAGAAAATAAAATTTAAAAATTGTAATTGCACATTTGAAACACCATTTTAGCACTTTTTAATTAATTAGTTAAGTAAACAATTTAGCACACATACACACAATAAAAATTATAAAATAACTATTGAAGTACCTAGTAAGGTGATAATAAACTTTAAAGGTATTCCTGTATAGACACAATCAATATAAAAATCATTCTAAAAATGTATTCATTTTAATTGCATTTATTTTTATTTTCTTCAACTTTATTTATATATTTATTTCAATTTAATTCTAATATTTGGGCAGAAGGCTCACATGGAAAGAGTATATAAAAATAAAAAAGGAACATTGTAATAAAAGTTTAGAGATATGTACTGGTTAATGGGCAGACAAACTTCAAAATAAGCCTTGAAAATAAACTTCTTATTAAAAATTATTATTATTTGATAATAATAAAGGACTCGTCGCATATAGAAAAACAAAAATCTAGTATGCTTAGTGAAATATGAACATGTCAAGAATTATATTTTCCATATTGGTAAAAAATACTTCTATCTTGCCTACCTCATTAAGAATTACAGTAATGATTATATGCTTTCTTGTTACTTTTAAATACTTGTTTAAATTTAATAAATGTATTGAAATTGTATATTTAATAAATAGTGGTACACCTTACCGTAAATTGATGCATCTTGCCTTAAGTACAATTTCCTCAACTGACACTAAATTTACAATTTATTAATTCTGTACATAAAATTTCAAATCATATTTTTTTAAAATAGAATATGAACTGTTCTAAGTACAATTAATGCAAAACAACATCTCGGTTCAACAATGTTAATAAAAATAAATAACTGTAATAACTGTATAGAAGAACAAGTTGACATCTCAGAATCAAGGAAAACGCTTTGCAGGGTCATAGAAGTTTTTATAAAATTAAAAAAAAAAATGCCAACTCTCAGTAGTTAAAGTCCTTCACGGTTGTTAACATTATTGTTAGATAACAATAAACATATTATAGTTAAAATGTGAGTAGTTATCTTCATGGAATCAATTTTCATCAGTATTGTTGTTTTTCACATTATTTAGGGGTCAACATGGTATGTTTTTGGTTTTAATTCTGATACTGACTCTATTATAAGCTTATCACATCATATCTTCAAACACTCATATTCTTTTTCACAGAGTCCATCCATGTTTTTGAATCTTTTTCTTCCTTTATACTCCCATCCATCCACTTTCAAACTTGTCTTTCTTTTTTACAATTCTCATCTCAGAACATTTTCCATACTTATTTAACAATGTGTTTTTATGTGTTATTTTTCTTGCAAATTTAATTAAATATGTATTTACTCATGCAAAAAAATATATATATATAAGAATATACAAGATACTTATGATGCTCTTTAATAGTTTAGGAAGTATTTTGAGATAGGCAGGTATTTAATGCAAATAAAATATATGTACATAAAGGACAAAATCACAAGGTTCAATAAAATATTGACATTAAGCAAGCAATGAGGAAAATACGAGAGGTTCATGATGGCAATAAAACAATTACATTAACTATTTCTGTAGCTCTTCTATCATTTGTTCTAATTTAAAACTTTCTGGCTATTTGACTAGAACTATTTTAATTCTGCTAACATTAGTATATGTATATATTTATATGTATTTACCACTTTGTACAAAAGTTGTTTAATTGAGTACCTCATCCCATTCAAGTTTCAACTGTAAAGCACTTATCTTTGCATGGCTGTTTCAGTTTGAAGGGTGGGATACGGCAATGAATTTACGGCCTAACACCTTAGTCTTCAGAAATGGCAATGCATAGGGGGTTACATAGGTGAAACAGTATACTCTGTTATGTCTATGGTACTACTCATATCTATAGGTGACAGTTACCACTTTTTATTAGGTATGTCACTTGTTTGCCATTCTAAGTCATAAGAAAAAATGTGTGTGACTGCCAACACTAAAAGAGTGACCATCACTATTACTATCAAAAGTCCCAATCCTCTATACTTATATAGAGTAGAAATATATATAATAGAAGATATATAGAATTATGAACATGCATATAAGTACAAATTATAGTAAGTTTCTTCTGAACAACAGTAGTGTTTGGCTCTAACTTTATATATATTGTCATAGTCGTAGAATATTGATGGATATATATATATATATATGTAATCTTTGTCAGATCCGTCAGTATTCTACGACTATGACGATATATTATGGCAATGACATATGACACCAACTAGACTTTGCACTATTGTCTATTACATATTAGTAGGCTTAATAACGTTTTTTTCAGTATTGTACTTTCTTTATATACCATATTTAACTAATTAATTTTATATAAAAAGTTTTTTTTCTCTTCATATGGCTCGGTACAGAGTGTGTCAATCAAAAATAAAGATTGGGAAAGTGCATTTTTGTAAAGGGAGTTTTGGATGACAAAATTTAAGAGTTCCGAAAAGTTGAATAATAAATATTTTAGGTGAAGGACAGGTAGTTGTTAAGTATGTTGATCAAGGTGAGAATTGTAGACTTGTGTATACACACCAGATCTAGAAATTCTCAAAAAAAGGAAACTTTATTTACATTTGTCGCCCAATCACATGGAATCAAATCAGTTTCCCCAATTTAAATTCAAAATTAGAATCATATAGTTTTAAGTTTAAATAAGTATTAAATAAAAAAATGCAATGAACAAAAAATAAACCTACAATGAGTTCACAGTATTTATTAGACTTCTTGTAACAACTTATCTACTTTTTATTAAGTGTGATAAACAAAATTATAGAGACAAAAAAATCTGTTAGTTTTTGTAAAATTAAAATGTAAAATTTATATTTGTGTGAAAAGATTTTAGTATTATCGCTAGATCACTTATGTAGTAACTTGAGAGAAAGACTATATTGAATGGTCTTGAGCAACCTGCATCCACTGACTTTCTGTAACATGTTGCAGATTATTACTCCGACTCATGGGGATGTTATATTCTATTACACTCTGTTCACCGATGGGATTATTGAGTATATATATAACCCATACCCGAGGGTATGCAGTGATCTAAGTAATTAATATAATTTGTTCCTTACTGATAATATACAGCGATGACCTTTTTCACTTGATAACAAGTTTTATTCTCACAAAATAGTTTAAATTCATCTGAGGTACACAACTTGATGCACATATTTCAAGTTAACCTAACATAACATTTCAATGTAAACATAACTTACACAGTATAAACAGAAATAGGAACTGCAGTAGCACCGTCACAATTCAATAGTATTATAACACAATCTTCTACTTTAATTTCTACATTAGCAATACTTTTTGTAGATACTTAGGTATAACCTGTTATCATTATCAAATGCAGATAACATTTATCATATCAATATATGGCACAAAGAATCTCGAACTTATACACTTGACGTCATAAAACAACTACACAATCTGTGAATAAACAACCGATTTGGCGTATTTTCGCCACACGACTACAGTTTAGTTTTACAAATGACAGAAACTAAGCGACTTCTATCTAAGTACGTTCACTACGTAATTATTCAAAAGTGCACTTGAATGGAGGTGAAGGTCTAAGGATGCTGATACAGCGCGTGAATTGCCTAGATCTATTTACTACATAGAAAGTTAATGACAAGCAGAATTTGGAGCAAAGAAAACTTACCAAGTGGCAATGATTGACTTGTATTATCAATTCTTTTTTTTTTTTTCAATTATTTATGTAATATATTACACATTATATTATTATCACGTCACACAGCACGAAATCACTATCTACAATATAATAATTTTGTTCAAATCGCGTCTAAACAAAACACTTTTTGACGAATTGACAAATTGTGACTGAAATCAACATGTCCTCCAACTGGACTTCCGTACAAATGAATTTGATTATAATTTTAGTATTCTATTACAACATAGAATATACAAAGAGTGACTATAAAAGTTTAAATAGTTGATTTACATTAATAATAAAATTTATTGAATTATAATAAATTTCAAATAATGTAATTGAATTACTATTGTTACTCTATTTGTAACTATAGAATGTAAAATATTACGTTTATAATTTTATATCTTACTATTACTGATAATACTAGCATTAATAAATTATAGTTTTTTTTTATCAAAAAGTAATAAAATTAATAATTTTTATAATTTATTACACTAAAAATTTATTTTCCTAAATTGATCTATCTATTTTCTCTTATTCTCTCTCTCTCTCTCTCTCTCATTAAAATTTCATTTGTCTTGACATTTCATTATTTTTCATTTCGCTCCCACATCAACCACTTTATAGAGATCTTAGTATTTTTACTATTTGTAGTTCAGAGATGGAACTAGCTTTTCTTCTTTGTCTTGCGAGTGGTAATCACTATGCCAAAATAATTAATGTAGCACCACTTACGGATCAGCATGTCGTAAAAAGCAAAGGATCTACCATGAAATGTTTTCTAAAATTTCGAGACTGATCAAAACACAAATTTCATGTTAAAAATACACGTTACATAGCGTTTAAAAATATTAAAATGTCGCTTATTATTTGTTTGTATTTACCCTAATAGGAGATAAGCGATGCAGATATATATATGTATGTACGTATGTTAAAATATTTGTTCCTTTGGATTTTTATGGTAAGATTTAAATTTGAAATTGAGTTTCAAAATTCGGATTTCAATTTATGGTAGATTCCGAGGTACTGGAGTCGATTCTGGGGCGCTATCTTTGTATATTTTTTTTTTTTTTTTTTTTTTTTTTATGGGTGAAAATGGTATGGTAACCCCTCCTGCGCTAATGGGATACGCTGGCGGAGCACCAGTGAAGGGTGATAGATGAGAATGAAAACAGGCCAGTTAGCCCATCATGATAAATTCATTAGGAATTAACCATGATAGTTTCCAGGGGGAACCGCGAGGAGGTCGACCTGGATGGGTATATTGCTAGTAATGGACTTCTCAGTCTCCATTACTAACAATCCCTTTCCCCCATCTTTGTATATTTATTTTCATAATAAAAATTTCAATTTGATATTATAGCAAAATTTTTATTCTAAGGACCAATATAAACAAACTATCTACTAAGCTTAAGTCAAAATTATTTATGATGGTTCGTAAAACAGTAGTTTAGCGAAATTATAAAATTAACATATTAGAATAGGAGATAAATTTAGAATACGGCGTCTCAGAAATGTTCTCTCTGTCCATAATCTATGCAGAATGTAGTCTGCTGTCACCAGTAATTTTTTTTTTTCTTTTGTGGCGTTCACCCCGATATTACGGTATTTTGCCCCCAGTAATTTGACTAGAACTTGTTATCAGTCAGTCATTCATTATATACTCTTTATCATTGACAGCAAAAAATACAATTTTAAGATTTTTTTGATTGAGGTGGAAAAGGCGGGAAACTCGAATAAGAACAAGCGGGTTTTTTAAATTTTTTTTATTAATTTATTAAAACTATCTCTATCAATTCTTATTATTGAATAAAATATTATATTTTCACTAAATTCAGCGACAGTAATATAATTAGCATTCATGGGGAAGCGCAGTTGTAGAAAAAGGAAAAAAAAAGATGACGATTCAGGTGATGTAGACCATGAACCTTGTAATGACAAGGATATATATTCGGAAGATACTTCTACTGACTCAGAATCTGAAATTGATAAGGCCGATAAGTATAAACCTTACTACGTCACAGATTATATTAGAAGATATCCCGAGGAATCCCCTGGGACAGAATTTGTTGTCTTTGTAGAATCCTCAGATAGTCAGAAAACCATTGGATCCAGAGACTTGCTCTCACTCTCCTCCTGTTTAAAACGATTTAATAAAGGGGTAACTTATCTTAGATCTATAAATAAATTCAAAATCGGAGTATACTTTCAAAAGCCAGACTTAGCCAATGCTTTTTTAAATAATAAAACTTTTTTAAATGACTACCATTTTAAGGCCAGTATTCCTGCTTCTTCAACAGAAGTTACAGGCGTTATTAGAAATGTACCTACAAATATATCTAATAAAAAAATATATACTATGATATCGAGTTCTAAGAAAATTATTGCTATTAAAAGAATTTTAAGAAAAAATACCTTGACTCATGGATATGTGTTACAGCCAACTCTAACCGTGACAATTACTTTTGCTGCATCTGTATTACCTGAATATCTGGATATTGGAGGTTGGCGCCACAATGTCACTCCATATATACCACCAGTTAAACAATGCTACCGGTGCTTGAGGTATGGACATTTAGCTAAATTCTGTAAGAATTCTGAGCGTTGCAGCATCTGCAAAGGTGAGCATAATTATAAAACTTGTACAACTGGAATGGAAAACGCTATTTGTGTACACTGCAATGGAAATCACACAAGTGTATCACCGCAATGCCCTGTTAAACAAAAGAAAATTGCTGAAAATAGATCTAAATTCAGACCTGCTTCTTTTGGAGATATACTTAGCACTGAAATATTTCCTAAACTGGGTAACAAACCTAAAAAAAATGTAGACCTAATTTCAATTCTAAATTCTGATAACAAGAGTTTATCACTTTTAATAGAAAGCATAATCAAACTTATTTCACTACATAACACAAAGAACACATCTATTAACACTAAAAGTGTTTTGAATGTGTTATATGATACTTTTGGTAATACACCTATTTCACAAAATTCAATCGAGACCAATTAACTATCATACAGTGGAACGCTCAGAGCCTACTGAGCAATCGACATATTTTTACACAATTTTTAAATGAACATCATATTCACATTGCTCTCATCTCAGAAACTTGGCTAAAACCACATTACAAATTAAAAATTAAAGATTATTGTATAGAACGAAATGATTGTGGTAATAACCACAATGGAGTAGCGATTATTATACATAATAGTATTAGATATAAAAAACTTCACTCTTTTTTCGACAATTCTTTGCAAACTATAGCTATTAGTATTGAAGTTAATAATTCTTGGTATTCAGTTGCCAGTATTTACTGTCCTACCAATAGTACACCTAGTTTTACTAAAGCCAAATTTAAGTTCTTTTTGGAGTCTCTTCCTAAACCCACTATCATATCTGGAGATTTAAATGCACATCATACTATGTGGGGTTGTACCTCCACTAATACAAGAGGTAAAGACATTCTTGATTGTTTAGATGAATGTAATTTGGTACTATTAAATGATAAGCAAGTTATTACTGTTGGCTCTCATATTTGGAGACCCAATGGCCTTGATTTAACTATGGTATCCCCATCCATATCATTAAAATGCGAGTGGTCGGTTCATGATGATCCGTTAGGAAGTTATCACCTGCCGACTTTTACTAAAATAAACACAAAGAACTCTTCATCAACTCCGTCAGGTGAACAACATGCTCCTATAGATGAAGTTAATAAACTTTTGTTAAATCGTATAAACCTACGTCTCGTTAATTGGGATCTTTATTCTGAAACTGTTAATCGATTACTTTTGGATTTCGAGTATGATGTCAATGAACCCTTAAACAATTACAATAGGTTCTGTAAAATTATTTTGACAGCTGTGGAACGTTCCGTTCCACGTAGGAACTTATCAAATAGCGGTGCAAATACTTCAAAGAGGCACAAACATATTGCAGTACCTTGGTGGAATAACAGGTGTGCGACAGCTGTCAATGATAGTAAAGCGGCTTACCTTAGGTTTAAACAAAATCCAACTCTCGATAATTACATAAATTTTAAAAGAGTTCAAGCTGTTAAAAAGTTAGTAATTAAGCAAGTAAGACAACAGGGGTGGCAGGAATTTTGTTCCAAATTTAATAGATTAACACCAATTTCCACTGTTTGGCAAAATATGAGAAAACTAAATTCAAAACATCGTCAAAATCATTTTAAAGATATATCATGGGTCAATGATTTTTTACGCAAATATACTCCTGATTTTGTACACTCACCTTTTGATGACAAACAGTTTAATTCTGTTAATTCATGCCCAAAATTTCTCACTGACCCATTCTCAATTGATGAAATATCCAGTGCAGTAAAATCTAGAAAAGATACAGCTAGTGGCCTTGATCGCTTAACATACAATATGTTTCGATTGCTGAATAAAATAAACCTTACTAAACTCTTACAAATTTTTAACGATTTATGGAAGGACTGTATTATCCCACCAGAATGGAAAATGGATTGTTTGATTCCAGTAATTAAACCCGGTAAAGATCCTACAAATTTCGACTCCTATAGACCTATAACATTGACGTCCTGTGCAGGCAAATTATTCGAACAATTAATTAAACAGCGTTTAGAGTTCTTTATTGAAAGTAATAGTATATTACCATCGAATCAATTTGGTTTTCGCCGTGGATATTCAGCGCGCGAAAGTTTAGCGAACTTCTATGTCGACCTTAGTACTGCTTTGAATAACGATGAATATGTTCTATCTGTTTTTTTAGATGTCGTAGGAGCTTTTAACAATGTAAATTTAACAGTTCTATCTTCGATTCTATCCTCATTTCTTCCAATGAAACTTATCGAATGGATTTATAATTTTCTTAGTAATAGAGAAGTGTATGTTAAAGTAAATAGTAAATTAATAGGACCTAGGTTAAGCTCTAAAGGAGTATGTCAAGGTGGTATTCTAAGCCCGCTACTATATATTTTATATATCTATAAACTTAATTCAATTTTAGGAAACAGTGTGAACAACTTGCAATTTGCCGATGATTTATTAATTTATATAAAAGGAAAGAATATTATTGATATGCAATTAGTGTTAAATGAGTCATTAAAAAGACTTGAGAAATATTTTTCTCTTCTTTCCCTCGATATTAGTTTAACCAAAAGTAAAGTAGTTGTTTTTCATCAAGTTCATAAATATGTTCCATTAATAAATATTATATATAATAATCAAACTCTTCCAACAGACTGTAGCGTTAAATTTCTGGGGGTAATTTTTCATCAAAATTTAAAATGGGATCTATACGTTGATTGCTTAGTAGATCGTGCTTTAAGAGCCACTAATATAATAAGATCTGTAATTGGTCGTAACTGGGGAGCTGATCCTAAAATTATCCTTTTACTTTACAAATCTCTTGTTAGAAGTAATTTTGATTACGCTTTCTTTTGTTATGCCTCAGAACATAAATTAGTAGAAAAACTCGAAAAAATTCAAAATATGAATTTAAGACTTATTTTAGGTGCTATGTATACTTCTCCAATTATCTCAATGCAAGTAGAATGTAATTTGCCTCCTATCCTTCTTCGTTTCGAATACCTAAAACTCAAATTTCTCTTCAAAGTTTTTTCAGTTTCCAATAACCCACTCATACTCAAATTATTAAATTGCCCCATTTCTATGTTTTTGAATAAAACTATTGTCAATGATTTGAATTTACGAGATGAATATAACATCTATAGTAGTAAGATACTTCCTTGTTATAATGGCCTTTATGAGAGTAAGTTCTGTAAGATCAAAATTGTTATACGTAAAGACATAAAAGAAAAGCACGATATGTATGAGACTTTATCAGAATTTATTGACTACAGGCAGATATATACAGATGGTTCCAAAAATGCACTTAGCACTTCAGTGGCTTTTTACGATTTGTCAAATAGATTTGGTCACGGTTATAAAATTTCAACTTTGGCTAGTATTTACACAGCAGAAGCAAAAGCTATATTTTTAGCATTAGAATACATAGAAAAACAGGTACTATATTCGAAATGGATTATAATTACAGATAGTATGAGTGTTCTTATGGCATTAAAAAATAACACATTCATTTCATCATCAAACTACTTAATTCAAGAAATTCGTAATAAATATTATCATCTCTGTACTATATATGGAAAAGATATTATCTTCATCTGGACCCCTTCACATATTGGAGTGTTTGGGAATGAACAAGTAGACACTTTGGCTAAAATTATTAATTCAAGTGCTGCTCGTGTTCAAGATTTACCCCTTTGTTATTCAGATTGTAGTATTGGAATACATAAAATCGTTACAACTAAATGGGAGGAGCATTGGACTCAAATATTACAGACTAAAGGCAAATGGTACCGCAAAATTAATTGGCGTATTGGAAAACCGTGGTTCTGCAAAGGAAAGGACACAAACAGAAAATTTTACACCAATATTTGTAGATTACGAATCGGCCACGGACATTTCAACGAACACCTGCACCGAATGGGCATGATCGCTTCCCCATCATGCACATGGTGTAACTCAAATACAGCCCAATCTCTACATCACCTTTTTTTGATTGCTCTGAATTTGTCATTCAAAGACACATTATGTTTGACGAACTTAGGATTATCTTCAAAAAACCCGAAAATATCCCGCACTCAATCCCGCTTCTCTTAAGATTTCCTTCTTGTTTCAAAGCTATTTTCACTTATATTACTACAACATTCAAGGAGCTATAAGAATACTTTTATTGAATTGCAAGACAATGATTTTTTATAATTATTTATTTTTAATTTGATAAATCCACTGGTTTAAGAAAACTCAAGAAAAGATATTTATGAAAATGTACTTACCGGATTTGACAAATGAAATATTGAAGATTATGACAATAATTGAAGCGACATTAGAAAAATAAAATTCCAGACAAATTATCTTTTTGAAGACTAGGCAGCATGGTCTCCGACCTTAGCCTGTTCCAAACGGAACAAACGTACTAAAAAAAAAAAAAATTTAATTAATGTGGTTATAACATTTTGTAACGTTTATTTTTTCTTTATTCAATAAAAGTGTATTCTTACATTCTTTAAGTGTAATTTTGTCAAGATGAATATTGGTCCAAATGTTTTTTCTAGTGCTAGTCGAACTACTTTGGAGAAAAATGTTAAAACCTTCGTGAGTTTAATTTTTACCAGCTTAAATAGGTTATTTTGCACATTTATATTAATTTGATCGTTTATTTTTAGGTTCTTCCTGATAAATGTTTTGAAAATCGCGTCGCATGTACTTGGCGATGTGGAAATAAGTTTACTATATACCCACGAAGCCAAACTGTCAGTAAAACACCGGTGGACACAACTGGTGACAGAATCGTTAACATTTGTCAAGATATTTTGTTATTTACTCCAATTTTGAGGAAACTAGTGAACGAGTCCAATGGCACCTACCTATCCCTACAGAAAGCGGCCGAAACCGCGAAAACTTCAGACAATCAAGTCGAATTTCTGAAACTCTCCCGCCAATATCGATCTATCATAAGAGTATGTATTGAAAGCCTTCAGGAGGCAGCTGCGAAGGAATCTGACGGGATTGAAAAAAACTCCCTTATGTCATACATTACAATTTTCTATTCAATAGAGTGTATATGGCATTTATGTGAAATTTTATATGTGGATAGCATACCTGGTGATATAGTGTTACCATTTTTGCTCGAATGGATACGGTTCCACTTCCCCTGCCATGAACAGGTGGCTGCGCAGGTGCTGGAGGCCTGCGAGCAAGGCTCCGAGGACCATCCACAGTACTGGGACACAGTTATTGGTATGATCGTACAAGGAAGGGTGGATGTAGCGAGAGCTCTGCTTAAACTTCATTCCTTAGCAGACATTAATGAGTTTAAATTAGTAGACAACGCCTTGAGAACTATGCCTGTTTATAGTGTGAGTAACATGTTTAAAATAGATATTATAATTGATTATATATATATTTATATACTAAGTAAGGATATATACTTATATATTTACATTATTGCATGTCTTATATCTTCATATGCGATTAGAAATAATAGAATTTACATTGTGTATTTTTTAAAATTGTTTATAATTATTCCTCTATCTAAAGGTTGTCTGGAATATATTGCTTTCAGTGATAAGGCCGCCCAATATTTTCTCACTGTGATTATTTCTTATAATTGTTTGTATCTATGATAAATTTACTATTGTAGTGTTTTGGAGGAAACAATAAGAGTATTTATCAGTAACAGTATGGATTATAATTGTGAGCAAATTATTGGAAAAAAAAAAACTGTTTCTATTCTGTTCTAATAGCAATATCTTGCCTTTTTATCATATAATGTTTTTTTTTGCTTATTTTATGTATTGTAAATAAACTATCATACTTTAAGTAATTGCAAAATAGATTTAAACTCTTCATTATTTGTCATACACACAATGGTCCAAATGAGAGGCTAAGCGCTGAAAAGAGAGTCCAATTTACATTGCATCTTGGTTATTTGACTCTGAGTAGAGATTTAATAATTTGCCTGAACATTCCTCCTTTAGTGATGAAACATGTACCACAAAACATATGTGAACAAAATGGCAGCAAGAGATTGATGACTAATACAGAAAGTTGTGGAACTTCTGGTAGTAATTGTAGTGGTCAATCTTCAAGTTTTAGCTGTCACACACATATCCTCATAGTCATAGAATACTGACGGATCTTTATATGTAATATTTGTCAGATCCATCAGTATTCTAGCACTATGATGATGTTAATGATAGTGGCTTTAAACAAATAAATTATCATCAAATAACCATTGGTATGGATTTCTGCAAGATAACACTTAGTTCAGTAGAATATTTAAATTCTTAATCAATTCAGGCAGTTAAATAATCCTTTTACTTCAGGTTTATGGTGGTATATCAACTGGAGAATTCACCATAACATGGAAACACTGGCAGGCTGAATGTCGTTCTAAACTCTCTGGCCGTAGCCTGGCATCACAACCTAAGCTCGAGCTTATAATGAGGGTAAGATCTAAATTTTTTAACAATGCATTTAATTTGGAAGCGTCATTCTTTGCAGTTATAAGTGGAATCAATAAAAATTTTATTACTAAGATAAGGCTCTATAAAATGAAATAAAAATTTATTTCCTTTTTATTTTATGCAATTTAGAATTTGTTTATTTTATTTGGGAGACACAATTGAATAATAAAAAATAAATATTTTTAATTATAGACATACAAAACATAAGACAAGGTTGATGTCGTAAATTGTATTAACATTACATAGGCCTTCCCCATATGATGGGTGTTGCCAACAATTGCCATGCTATGGTAATATGTTAACCCACATTGGTTTATTTTTAATGGGTGAAAATGGCATGGTAACCACACCTGCGCTATTGGTATAGACTGGTGGGGTACTAGTGAGAGGTGATAGGGGAGGATGAAAAGGCAGGTCAGTTAGCCCATTGTGACGAATTCAATGATAAGTTAGTCACGATAGTTTCCATGGGGAACCGCATGGAGATCAACCTGATAGGGTATATTGATAGCAATGGGAACTAACCTTGGGGAGGTTTACTAACATTCCCCCCATCCAATTCCCCCCAGCAATGTGCTGTTAGACCCTATCACATACAATCCCTTTTACAATTAATTTTTACATGCTAATGCCTGTTACAGTTGATAATCGGCGAGTACTCGGCGTTCGAATCGATCCGCGACAATTACGTGTCGTGGTTCGACCTGCTGGGCGGCTGGGTGCTGTACACGGCGCCGTGGACGCGGCGGCGCGAGCTGGGCGCGGCGGCGGCCGCGTGCGCCGCCCTGCGCTCGGCGCAGCCGCCGGCCGCGCGCCGCCTGCTCGACCACCTGGTGCGGGCGCTGCTCGACGGGGATTTGCATCAGGTTATATACGATATATTCTTAACATTCATCATCATATCAGGCTTTAACTGTCCACTGCTGAACATAACTCTCTCCTTGAAGGGGTTTTGCTAGTAGTTGCCATGCTTGGCGGATTGGCAATCGCATTTAGACTTTGAAGATGTTATAAGAGGGACACTGTTGTCCATTTCTCATCCTCCTTCAGTTGCGTCTTACGACATCCATGGGAAAGGAAGGGGTGGTCTATTCTATGCCGGGACCACACAGCATTGTTCATGTTCATGTTGACCTCTATGTGGTCCCTCTTTAATTTTATGGTATTTAATTCCTGAGGTTATTTGTCACAATGGATCAACTGATATGACTTCATCCTCACCCACAATTCTTGTGTATAAGTGGTGTCCCACCATTCATATTTAAGTCATCTTTATTTAAATAGTCTTGTTTAAAAGCACTTTTAAATGGTAATTTTTTTTGTCTACTACAGGGTTTGGTAAGTTGTATAATATAGCATTTGATGTCCATTCCTATAAAAGACCTTTTAATTTTTTTTTCTATACAATACTTTGAAACAGCAAGTTTGAATTTTATAATATCATAATTACCAAATTGTAATTGTCTATGTACATATATAATAAAATGAATTAATTTCCCCTTAAATATATGTATGTAGACATTGTATTAAAATAATAATAAAAAAGCATATAGTTTTCAAAAATAAAATTCTAACTATCAAAAGTTGCAAATAGCTTCATTGACAAAAGAAGTCAGCTAGAACATTCTATAGTTTTATTTCAGTTTCTCAAAGATTGTAAGATATTCCTCTGTGGGATAAGTCCGCTATTGTATAGCAAATCTTTTATCTATTCAATGTAAAGTATACATAATAAAGATATTACAATACAATTAATGAATAAAAATTAATCCAGGTTTTTTCAAGAGAGCACAGCATGGGTTTTTTTCAAAAAAAGAGGTATAGAGATTTTTTCAGGATCGCCAACGCGCGCGTACTTCATCTAGTTTTACAGGCGTTCATAGGTTATAGGTTCTTCTCAGCTAAAATTGCACTACGTACTGAGTGGTAGATTTATAAAAAAATACTATTCTGTATACTTATTATTAAGTTTAATTTAATAAATATTATTTTATGTTTATTATTTATTATTTATTATTTATTATTTATTATTTATTATACCATCACGTGGGCCGAATGCTTGTTTGCCACCTTAATAGTACAAAAAAAATGTTATTTTTGCATAATTATTGTTATATAAGTATACTAATGTGTCAGGATGACAGATAACTTGGTTTGTTTATTATTAAATAAATCATTAATATTTTCAGGTTATACATGAAATCCAACAGATATCGGACAATGGTTGGTTCGCGACACATCTCACAGACATCCTGTACCAATGTGGCAAGTTGAAGATATTTGACAAACACCAAACCAAGTTAGTATTGAGTTTGTACTGTTACAAATATTAATATTTGTAAAACCTTAACCTTCTCCACTTTAAAGTGGAGTGAGATGAATGAGGCTTACACTTGTCGAGAGGCCCTTAACCCACTGACCGGTTGGGGGGGGGGGAGGGGGGGATTTTTACGGGACGATCAATAAGAGCAGAGCAGTGAAGGGAAATGTTGGGAAAACAGGAGAAGTTACTCCATTTTTTTTTTGTGTAAAAATGTCCACCTGTGCGAAGCCGGGACGAACCGCTAGTATCACATATTTTTCACCACATCTGCCCTTCATTCGCTTTCTGTTTTTACCTAATGAAGAAGCTGGTAGAGAATGCCATACGACATTAAGCTCGCCACTTGTACAGAGTTTTATTGTGCAATAAAGAATAAATAAATAAATATTACTAAGATGAGACAAGAATAAAAACTTTAGAACTTTAAACTCATTCTTTAGTTGATTAATAGTTTTTTTTTTTTTTTTTTATTAAATTGTTTACAGTGTAACAGCTCGACTCAGAGACAGTCTCGTATTAGAATATGGCTGTTTGCTAATGGAGCACAAGTCACTGTGGTCAGTGGGGCTGTCGTACCTGGCCACCTGTCCACCGGAAGGTCTGCGTCGCGCCGAATTAATGCTGGAGCGAGTGCCCGTGCACACTAATGCTAAAGCACTGAGGGTGATTGCTGAGGCCAAGAAATATGGACTCTCTGGAGTTGGTAAGTTTGAGTATTTGTATTTAATGAAATGAAATTTATTTGCCAGAAATATACAATTTAGAATGGCAAACAAGCTGACGGCCCACCTGATGAAAAGCGGTAACCGTCGCCTATAGACATGAGCAGTACCATGGACATAACAGAGTATACTGTTTTGCCCCTGATACCCCCCATGCGTTGCCATTCCTGAGGACTCAGTTGTTATTCCTCTGTACCTTGTAAATTACCCGCCATATCCCACCCTTCAAACTGAAACACAGCTATGCAAACACAACTGCTTCACGGTAGAAACACGAATGGGGCAGAGGTACCCAAGCAATCAACTTTTGTACAAAGTCTCCCTCTGGTACAAGAGGGAGACTTTGTACCCTTTTTTTTTATGTAGAATCCAATCTTAAATTGTATGTAAGTATGTGTTAAAATATAATTTTAAAATAGTGTGTTTTTTATTTCCAATTCTATGGATTTGAAAGTATCAAGAATATAGTGAAACTGCGTGTTCTACCGCTTATACAATGGATTGTGCTCAGAGGAATTATTCAATATGATGCCTACGGTCACTTTCTACCATCGTACGGCTCGCCATCGACAGAGAGTTCACCCTCATACCTTACAGCCTAAATGGTTTCAGAGATGCTTTCTCCCACGAACACTCAGGTTAAGGAATGAGCTCCCTGCCGAGGTTTTCCCGAGAGACTACAGCGTGGGGTTCTTCAAAAGGAGGGTAAATAGGTTTCTTCAGGGTCGGCGACGCGCGCGTAATACCCCTGGTATTGCAGGCGTTCGTAGGCTACGGTGACCGCTTACCATCAGGCGGGCCGTATGCTTGTTTGCCACCTCAGTGGTATAAAAACTGAGTGTGAGCGTTGCAGTTGGCAAGCGTCACCATGTTGTTAATTTGGCAGTGCAGAGCGTGTGCCGGGCGGCTGGCGCGCGGCGGCTGGCGGCGGGCCGGGCGGGCGCGGCGCTGGGCTGGGCGCTGCGCGGCCGCTGCGGCCGGCTGTGCGCGCGCGCCGCCGACGCCGCGCTGCGCGGCTACTGCGGCTACAGCGGCTACAGCGGCGGCCGCCCGCTGCCCGCGCGCGACCTGCTGCTGTCCGCCGGGCCCGAGCTGCTGCGCGCCGACCGCCTGCTGTTCCTGGGTCAGTACTGTACGGCTATGGAACGCTCTACCAGTTTCCATACGAAATATATAAATGTCTGGTTACTTTTAAAACAAAAGTTAAGGACTTTTATTTGATGCAAGTTGTCATCTCCTTAATGTGTTTATATGTCTGGTTAGCATACTTATTACTTGCATATTTTTCGTGAACGTTTATGTGCATGTATGTATATATGTGTATGTGTGTATGTATGTGTATGTATGTGTATATGTATATATAATAATGAGTAGGGATAATATTTATATCTAGAACTTTATTCTATTTCATATCTAGAACTAACAAAATTTTTTATCATGCCTCCTACCAAATTGTTTATAATTACTCCTCTCCATGCAAAGATCGCTCTTAGCGATAAGGTCGCCCATTGTTTTCTCATTGTGATTATTTCTTGTAATTATTTATATTTATAATAAGTTTACTATTGTAATCTTTTGGAGGAAACAATAAAGAGTATCTATCTATCTATCTACTCGCACTCTACTGCACCAAAGTACCGATGCCCCTGTTCCATCAACGGGGGTTTCACCCTCTTGCATTTATTTTTATTAGTGATAATGGAAAGCGGTAACCGTCGCCTATAGACATGAGCAGTACTATGGACATAACAGAGTATACTGTTTCGCCCATAATACCCCCCATGCGTTGCTATTCTTGAAGACTTAGATGTTTTTCCTTTGTACCCTGTAAATTCACGCCACATCCCACCCTTCAAACCAAAACACAGCCGTGCAAACACAACTGCTTTACGGTTGAAACACGAATGGGACAGAGGTACCCAAATTTTGTACCCACTTTTGTACATAGTCTCCCCCTGGTTTATATAATATAATATAGATATATAATATTTTAAAGATTAAATTACTAAAAATTGCTTTTTATTATTATTTTTTTTTAACATAAACTATATAATCGAAGTAACCATAGGATTTTTTAATTTATATATATATTTTATAACTTCAACAATGCAGACAATTTTTTTCAGACATAATAAGCCTTATGAGCTAAAAAAAATGTGTGGAAATATAAATCTATAAGTATATTTTTGATTCCAGGAAAATACTGTGACTTCCATCGATTGTATAAAAATAGGGAGTTCAAGAAGGCCGCCAAACTTCTAGTATCGTTAATAACATCGAAAATTGCACCCGAATAGTAAGTAAATATTTATTCTTTATTGTATATATATGTATAGGTAGATAGATAAACACTTTATTTGAGACATTTATGACACACGTAAATTAACAAATTGATTGTATGAATCAAATTATTTACATTTTTTTTTTAATATAAAGCAAAAGAAGAAGAAATACTATATTATGTTTCCGCCATGTGTGTCGCAGTGACCCAAATAGGCTACAGCTCGGTGATAGTTTTGCTTAAAAGTAAAGCACTGATTTTCAGCTGCAACCTGAAGTTAGGCTACACGGACGTGTACAACAAACCCAGAGTGTAACCCTGTGTAATCAATTTACCAGGGGGAAAGGGATTGTTGGTGGTGGAGATTAAGAATCCTATTGCTAGCAATGTACCCAGCCAGGTTGACCTCCTCGCGGTTCCCCCTGGAAGCTGTCATGGTTGATTCCTGATGAATTCATCATGATGGGCTAACTGACCTGTTTTCATCCTCATCTATCACCCTTCACTGGTGCCCCTTCAGCGTATCCCGTAAGCGCAGGTGGGGTTACTATTCCATTTTCTACCAATAAAAGAAAAACCAATTTAACAGCCAAAGATAAAATTGTATTATATAGATACATACTTAAATAATGCATAAATATTTCATTAATTAATTAAACATACAATTTAAATAATTCACCACAATAATTATTATGTTGAAAACAGTAATATTATTTTTTGTAGTATATATTTTTTACATTATCTCAGCATGTTTCGTCACAACCTCTTTCCATATCAAGTGACAACAGAGTCACACTGTCAAATGTTACATGCAATCTCAAATAATATTTATTTATATTAGTATTTACTCTGTGGTCCCGCCATAGATGGGCCATCCCTTCCTCTCCCGTGGGTGTCGTAAGAGGCGACTATGGGAACTTAACAGTTGAAGAATAGGCAGCAGCGTCCCTCTTAAAACGTCTCTAAAGCCTAACTACGAATGCCAACGTGGAGTCCAGAGTGGAATTACTGGCAATAGTCCTTAGTAGGGAGAACTTTATGTCCAGCAGTGGACAGTTAAGTTTTGGTGATATTTTAAGAGATGCTACGTTGCTGCCATCCCTGGACTTTTAAGTTCCTTTAGTCGTCTCTTATGACACCCACGGGAAAGGCGGGGCAGGACCATTTTATGCTGGGACCACATGGCAGTATAATGTTTATTTCTAACTTTATTACTATTTATTAGTCTTCATTACAGCAAAAGTATAAAAATAAATTACATGTTTTTTTTTATACTACTTAGAATGGCAAACAAACTGACGACCCACCTGATGGAAAGTGGTAACCGTCGCCTATAGACATGAGCAGTACCATGGACATAACAGAGTATACTGTTTCGCCCATGATACCCACCATGCGTTGCCATTCCTGAGGACAGGTGTTATTCCTCTGTACCTAGTAAATTCACGCCATATTCCACCCTTCAAACCGAAACACAGCAATGCAAACACAACTGCTTCACGGTAGAAACACGAATGGGGCAGAGGTACCCAAGCAATCGACTTTTGTACATATATATTTTTGTTTGTTTAGACATTCACTTTGTTTAGACATTAACAGATGTTAAACACTCTTTTATAGCAAAACGTCTAAACATGCCTTGAAATCTGTCTATCGCATGTTTGACTTCTTTTTTGTAAAACTATGGTTTATCATGATTTTTATTTTTATTTTTACAGTTTCTGGGAAACCCTCCTTCTAGACACACTACCACTTCTGGAGTCAGAGGAGGCGGTGTTCTCCTCGTCGGACACGTTCGAGATCATGCTGTGTTTAGAGTTGAGATCGAAGGAGCTCACAGGAGAGAAGGCGGACTTACTACGCTTGGCCCTCGCCAGGAATCTAGCGCGGACGTGTTTGGAAGATGTCGAGGATGAATGATGATAATCCAAGTGTATAAAGACTTATTTTTATACAATAGTGTGTTGAAGTGCAGTGCAAAGTGCTAATGAATATATAATTTTGATAACCAGAGGGAGACTTTGCACGAAAGTCGTTTGCTTGGGTACCTCTGTCGCATTCGTGTTTCTACCGTGAAGCAGTTGTGTTTGCATGGCTGTGTTTCGGTTTGAAGGGTGGGATATGGCGTGAATTTACAGGGTACAGAGGAATAACACCTGAGTCCTCAGGAATGGCAACGCATGGGGGTATCATGGGCGAAACAGTATACTCTGTTATGTCCATGGTATTGCTCATGTCTGTAGGCGACGGTTACCACTTTCCATCAGGTAGGCCGTCAGCTTGTTTGCCATTCTAAGTTGTATAAAAAAAAAACTTCACTATAGAAACATTTTGTTAATGAATAGAATTTTGTAACTCGAATATTTGGAGTTTTTTTTATGGATGATAATGGAATGATAACCCCACCCGCGCTATCGGTATACACCGGCGGGGCACCAGTAAACGATGATAGGTGGGGATGAAGCAGGTCAATTAGTCCATCGTGACGAATTCAACAAGAATTGTTCACGATGGTTTCCAGGGGGAACCACGTGGAGGTCCACCTAATAAGGCATATTGCTAGCAATGGGGCTGTCAAACTCCATTACTAACAATCCCATTCCCCCCGAATATTTGGAGTTGGGGTTACCATCCATTCAGTGTTTTGGACTTTCGGTATTCTCTCCGGGCTGTGTCCGAATTTTTTACTTTAATAAACTTATTTTGATTATTGGTAGTTTTAAATTACTTAGAAAAAAAAGTTACTATATTTTCTAAATAACTCACGGTTGAATGGTAGAAAATGACCGAGGTGTTAAGGTTTCTCAAACGAACTTACTTTTATGTAATTATGTGGTTTAATGTTATGTAAACTAAATGAAACTAGTAAACCGTATTCAATTTCTTGTTTAAACGTAATCTCTGTATTATTTTCTAAAATATCAAGCTTTTGTTGGTATCTTTTGCGATGTTTTAACATGAATTGGTCAGATCTGAAGTGTGTGCAGTTTAGAACAAATATTGGACGAAATAAAATTAATAAATACCTGTTTTTTTTTTTTTTTTATTAAGAAGCAATTGCTATTTTCGGTTTTCAAAAATTAAAATTAGTTTTCTCCAAGTCGTAATTAATTTACGACATCGTTTTAACATATTAATAGTTGCAGGTTTAATTTTTAAAGTATCTACGGTTGTAAGTTTTTTAAAATGGTAATTATATTATTAAATAAAAGAACACACTATCAAATAAAGGGAAACCATTTTTATGTGTTCTATTACAAAATAAATAAAATCGAGTTTCCCATAACAAAAGTTAGTGTGAGATGAAGGGGGGGGGGGCGGTTTCATAGTTGCCACGCTTGGCAGGCTAAACAGCATTGAACATTCTACATAAAAAGTTGTTTCATTCCACATGTAATACACTTTTATTTTTGTAAGCCAAAAGGAAATTCTGTATTAATTATATTGTGAAACCAAATAAACAATTGTGGTATAATAATAGGCAATTTGAAAATGTACGCACTTTACATTCCAGTGGAATCCAAGAAGTACTGAATGTTTCAATAACGCAATGGAATTGTCCATTTTGTATGGTTAACATTAGGGGTCGTAATGCAATTTTTGTAGATGTTTGACTCTACCTGTACCCCATGTAATGCGCCGTAACAGTATTCTGCCCCCCCCCCCCCCTTCACCCCTCCTACACATTACGTACTGTCAGTGACCATTTTTACGTAAATACTGACAATGAAAACAAAAATGGCGTAGTCGAAGGATACCCCATAAAGTAAAACAAACAAAAAGGTTTGCCAACTTGGGAGATTAGAGTTCTCTAGTTTTTAATTTTAATAAAAAAAAAAACAATGTTATGGATCGCGTCGTTCGAACCCCACTCCCGCACCTGTAACGTATAGTAACATTTTATAAGACCCTTCCGCCATATTGCATTACGTAAAACTTGAGCGCCCTCTTTAGATAGGAATGTAATGATCATATAATAAAATAATAATGTAAATAATAAATTGTGAATGTGATCAGCCCTTGTAGACAAATTGTAAACCTATCGGTAGACACGTTATCGCCTGAGATAAAACGAGATAGCAACATTCGTCTTGTTCTTTCTCGGTCATGCCTAATTGTGACGTGTTGATAGATTCATTTGATGTTTGACTAGGAGGGCAGATTTGGTCAATTAAAGCTGTATCCGCTGTGGTCGCATTAGATAGAAATTGTTTTTATTTCCTAATAAAATAAAGTTTTTTTTTACTAGAATAGTGCCTCCGCTTGCACTAACAGTATACGCTGGCACCAGTGAGGGATGATAAGTGAGAATGAAACGGCAGGTCAGTTAGCCCATAGTGATGGATACATCTGTAATTTAGCACGACGGTTTCCAGGGGAACCCACGTGGAAGTCGACTTGGCAAGGCATATTGCTAGCAATGGGAATTAACAATCCCATTGCTAGCAATATACCTTATCAGGTCGGCCGCCATGCGTTGCTGTGATTAATTTTATTGTTAAATTAGTCACAATAGGCCAACTGACTTGTTTCATTCTCACCTATCATCCTTTACGGGGCACCAGCCAGTGTATACCGATAGCGCAGGCGGGGTAACCATTCTATTATCATCCATTAAAAAAAAAACTATATCTTCCCTCCGAAAATAAGGGTTTCGCTCAACCACGTCTTACTATTCGGTCGGCAAAGATTGTATAATGATGTTTTTTTTTAATTAAAGCACAGCGGACAACAAATTTCTCATTAGCACACTCAAAAATTGTGAGTATGCTAATGAGAAATTTGTTACGAATCAAATAAACTTATTTTCAGTATTTATTTTGTATAAATTTTAAATAAGACCTATGGATGAATATAATTGAACTAACTAGGAATGAACTAGAGAGTAAAAAGAGGAACGAAAAAATTGTTAAATATAAAAATAATTGATGTATTAAAGTGTTTATGGACTAAGTGGTTATGTTCTCTAATTTGAAACGGTATTTTTTTTTTTAATATCTAAATAGCAACCCATTGTCGTCTTTAGGTCTTTACTCATAAGATACTTTTATTTTATACTTTTATTATCGGTACATGCTGGCTGTTAAGACGGTTTTTATTAACGGATGATAATGAAATGGTAACCCCCCTTTTTTTTCTTTGTCGAGGGGAAGTGCTTCATGCAGACCCACATAACTCGGAGGAGATATGTGGGTACTGCCGAACTCCTACCGGCTATAACCCCCCGGTGTTCCTTGTCCAACTATTGCCGGAGCCGCGGGGAACCCGCTTGAAGTCGTCCGAGACTCCGACGGGATGGTAACCCCGCCTGCGCAAATGGTTATATAGTGGCGAGGCACCAATGAGAGACGATAGGTGAGAATGAAAAAGCAGGTTAGTAAGCTCATCACGAATACACCTGGAATTCAGCACGACGGTTTCCAAGTTAACATGTAGAGGTCGACCTGACAATGTATATTTCTAGCAATGGAACTGGTTACATCCTATTATATAGTATTATATTATCTGTACTATTACTAACAATCTCTTCCCCCATTAGACCCTTTTACTGAATTGTTTACCTGCCATAGGATTATATTAGTATATTGTTAGCTGGAAAATCAGCCAAGAAAAGGATTTTATTTCTCTTGTGCAGTGTTTTCCTATTGGCCTCTCATTTAGGAGATATAAGAATAAGAATATCTTTATTTCCTTGAACAAAATTAGCCTATGGTACATTGTAGCTATGACCCCACACTAGGCAAAGCCTGTCTCGTGGTAGTCAAAGCAAGTCATTTTACAGTTATGGTGCGGCGAACAGGGTTAATCTAATTATATAATGTTTCATGTGAGTTTGGTTACACATAGGTGCATGGTTTGTGTGGGCGCCTGCGTGTGGCGCGGATATAAAGGAATGGTATATTGTATCTTTACTCACGAATTAAATAAGCCTTCGTATTGTGAATAAATAAAAACATATATTAATGATTACAAATTTATAATAATAGCACTATAATGATCATAAATCATAATCACAGCAGACTCATTAGGAATACAAAATTGAGTTAGGTAATGACTTTACCCAGTTACAAATATATATAACCTCAATTTATCATTTTACAGTGATTGGAAACAATATATATGTCCTTTTAACTGGGCTACAGTACTAAAATGTATAAACAAGTAAAACAATATTAAAAAATACCTATTTGGAAACATATTGTGAAAATTATACTTTGATATTTCAATAATAATGATTTTAATGCAGTCTATGGCCAGTCAGTGTTATAAAAGTAATAAAGATTATTCAGAAAAAAAAAAATCTGTTTTTTTTTTTCTGTACAGAACAAGTTTGTTGAGCTTCATTCTCTATTTGAAAAAAATATTTCTGGCAACTAATTATTCAACTATGTATATGTAAGAACATTTTTTCTTTTTTAGTTTTAAGTTAATATAGAAACTTGTCTATTAAAAAAATGTTTTACCTATTTGGTATTATATTTTTAGAAAAATGGTTTCTGGTCAAGTTTACAGGTTTTATGTAAACTAATAATAAAACTTACAGGTCTAGTAACTAGTAGGTCAATTCTTAACTTAAACATACAATTACAAGTCAACTTTGCATAAACAACTTAACAATTAAAATTACAACATACAATGTAAAAATAAAATATTTTTTTTATCACAAATTTTAACCCAAAAATACTGTATCTTGGTATGGAACTTCCAAAAGTGCAGGTTTACATTGGGTTAGTCAACTACTCAGAATTCAAAACAGATGAATAGCAACTAATTACCGCCATTATATAAATTGATCTCAATTCAGTGTAATATTTGCTGCTCAATTTATCTAAAAACGGTAGCGGCTTAACATGGACATATTTCAATTTCGGAGTCAGTAAATAGCCAAACATAAATATGCACTTATGACTAGTTTTTTTCAATAAGAGACAAATATAATATTGAATTTATATGGCCCATTGTTTTATATATTTAAAAAAAAAAAAAGAAAAGAAAAGAAATCTATGGATAATTTTATTTGTTTAGAATTGACAAAAATAACATTTTTAAAACCATACCTATGATATCAACCTTGATCTTTTTAAAGAGGTTAAGAAATATGACATCAAAGTACAGTATATGATGCTCTAGAGCAAATAATAGTAGGTGGTAACACTCAGTTTTGTCTTAAAAGCGAAAATACAATCAATGTTATTTAAAGTCAATTACTACACTAATAAAAATAAGTAGGTACAATTACTTGGTAATTAGAAACACTAAATAATAAACAATAGGAGAACATAAAACTACTTTTTGTCTGCATAAAATGCTTCCATAGACTCAAGCTCCTGAATTTTATAATCTAAAATGGTATCGAGGCCTTTGTAATGGAATCGACCATAGATCAGTTTTCCTTTTAACATGTAAGGAAACCAGACCCTGTCATCCGGCCACATATCGTTGAAGGGTATATCTTCGTAATTGAACCATTTTGGAGACATCTCCTCTGTCTCGGCAGGAGTTCCTTCGAAGATATTTGTAGAGAAAACCCTCACATCCATCAACAAGGGCTCTCCTTCGAAAGTGAACTCCAAGTGAGCGATGTTTTTTAAATCGCTAGTCTTCACATCAAGGCAGCATTCTTCTTTAAGTTCCCGAGCAGCACCGTCCACAATTAGTTCGTTTTGTTCAACTTTACCGCCAAATCCATTCCATTTATTGACACCGAAGCCGCGCTTTTTTAACCCTAGCAGTATTTGGTTTTCAGTGCGTACAAATATTAATGTGTACACTTTTTTGAAGAGCATATTTATAGGAATTACAACATATAGTTTAATTTAGTATAATAAAATATTTATTACGTATTTTATTTACGTAAATGAAAATGAATATAATGTAAACAATAAATATAGGCGGGAAATCGGCTGGGATGACAAATGTCACAATGACAATTTATAGTTAATGAATGACAATGATTGTCAAAAATTAAAAATCAAAGGTTTTATCAATAAATCAATTGTTTCTCTATCTGCGACTACAGAGTTGTCCTCTATAGTGATAGCTAGTGATAGATACAGAACCTACAGGTTCTAATTATAAATAGTATCTGCGGTTTCCATCTTATTAATTGATTCTAGATAGTAGTTTACACTTTTCGCACATAAATTTCGAATATATTTGACTCTAGTTCCAGTTGTTAGATAAAATTTCGCATAAATTACTCAGAAATTGTTCAGACGTATAATTAGAAATAGTAAAAGTATTTTACTAAATAATAATATAGTATTTACGTACTTTTTTAAAGAACTAGCTGCAATTCGATGCTTCACCTGCATGAATTAGTACATAAAGTATCCTATGTTCTAATTTAGGATGTAATTTATCCGTTACTAATTTTTATTCAAATAAATATAACAAACAGCCATCCTTCATACATTAATAGTAGGAATAATAGGATATGATTCGTTTTTTTATTACTGAACCATTAGTTTGGAGTCTACAATTCATTTTATAATACGGACAATTTACTCCATATTAGTCATGGGATAAAGTAGGTAACTATTAAAAACTGTAAACAGTGGTGTAACTATAGCATTTGAGGCCTGTAATAAATTCAATGGATGGGGTTTTCCCTTTATCTAAAAAAGTTCGATGCTGTAATTGAATTTTACCCCTTATATACCTAACTTAGATTATATAGATAGAGCATCGAGCCTCAATAACGGGTCAACTTTTTGTCAGCTAATTGTCAAATTAACTGACTCGTTTTGTATCAGTGTTCTATATACTTACGCATACAATATATCTTGACGTATTATTTAATATACAAAATGAGTTTTTACGCATTAAAAAGATGCAGAAATTATAAGACAAAATAAATATAGAAGTTACATAAAGGAATCACCCATAACTATTTGTCACGCAAAATTGTATGAAAAAGTTGAGCCGTTTTTCTCGAAGCATTTCTATGGAGACACTATCTAGATTAAATTACGATCCGTTTTATTGGAGAAATGTTACTACTCCGTACATGACTTCAGTACTGTTGATTAATGTAAATAATTAATAATAAATTTGACATATATATAATATTACGATGAAGTTCACACTGTTTATTGCAAAATTTATTTATTATAATTTATTGTTATTATTATAGTTATGGGATAGTTGTAATATTCAAGTTAATGTAATGATTTATCCTTTATTTCAGACATTGTTTATTGTACATTGACATTGTTCATTGTTTTTTGAATAAATGACTAATGACTATATAATCTAAGGTACCGAAATATTTTTTAAAGATCTCACATGTACTCACATTTGTAATTTTATTATATTAGTAAGAATTAAGGTGCAATATATTTTACTTATCTTTATAGGTATAAAAATTTACTTGAAATAATCGATTTGTTAATGTAATAATAGCCACTTGACACTTCGAGTCATTACGATTGATAACAATTATAGCCCACATGTTATCGCAATGTACATACATTAGTTAATATTTTGTTATGTGACCGACAAGATATCTTTAAGTGAGTAATAAAGGTAATTTCTTAGTTATTCTTCGTATTTTAAATAAATGTAATAGTTTGTAAAGAAATGGTTGCTGGTTTATTACTCAGTCTCAAAGTGGTAAATGTACTTAAATGAAATTTGGTGCACAAATGAATAATGGGTTAAATTAAGAAGAATATAAGATAGTTTTGTTCTTTATTGACGCAGGTAAAACCGTGGGATAATAAGCTTATGTTATGGAACGAACATCTAAGCCAATTACATAAAAAGGAAAGACTTTTTTTTTCGTTTGAACTGGATATAGTCAATAAATATTTATTCGATTTAAAAAAAATATTGGCGAGTTTATTGGGCTGTAATTCATCTCTCATACGTTCAGTTATAAAAACAAAGATTCATAATATTGTGCATGATGAAGACTGGTAGGTTTTTTAGGCTATTTTAAGAGAAATTTCATTTTGATATTTGCACATTACGTAGTATAGGTACATATAAAGAAGTTTTGTTTAAATAAAGTGTTCTAAACATTAGGTAACCGGACTCTTAGTCCCCAAGATACAGGTCTGGCCTAGTTTGGGGACTGATGGTAATGCAGACTTTTTCTCTTCATCATCATCACTACATATTTTAACATAAAACAAAGTCGTTGTCGCTGTCTGTCCGTCCCTATGTATGCTTAAATCTTTAAAACTACACAACGGATTTTGAAGCAGGTTTTTTTTAATAGATAGAGCGATTCAAGAGGAAGGTTTATATGTATAATACATGTACAATATAGTAGAAAAACACTGACAAATTTAGATGTTTCTAATGTGATGTCGTAAATAAACACATTTTTTAGCATTTCACGCTGCTTGTTTAAATTAAATTGTAAAAATTGTTAATTGTACTTTATGCAACTGTATCTCATTTGAATTATCTAATTAACATTTTTATGTTGGTGGTGCTATAAAGAATTAATTATTAACAGGTTATTTGGATGTTAAGTGTATTATGATGATTACGGAGCGGTGGACTGTGATGAGGTGATGAAATGATGTAGACACGGAATTTAGTTGCGAAAAAAACGTATTAACAGCGATAAAGAAACAGAACAATATGTGTCAAAAAAACAAATATTAAATTGAAATTACAAATAATAAGAACATTTTAAAAGTAAATGTGTATAAAAAATAAATTATTATATATTTTTAATTTGCAAAAGATGCTTTTTTAATTATAAAGCACTATTATACCTACTTGTACAACAATTAGTCCATTACCTTAAGGTTGTCTTGAAAAGATTGCTCTCAGCAATAAGACCGCCTTACTGTACTTATACAATTGTATCGTTATGTTTGTAAATTGTCTTGCTTATTTCCTATATTGTATAATGCAAATAAAGTATACCCATTCATTCATTCAAAAAAGTATAATAATATCTAATGAGTTTGCATCGGCCGATCGTCAATAGTGATGTTCGTAGAATTATTTATTTATTACGACTTAAAGAATAATATAAAGATTAATATATGTTACACTTGTGGAGTACAAAAGGCGGTTTTATCGCTAAAGCAATCTGTTCCAAACAACCTTTGAGTAGAGGTGAAAGAAAAAAGACGACAGGTATTTGGCACAAGAAGTGTAACTAATAAAAAAAAAAAAAGAAAAACGCTGATGTTAATAAAACATATACATTTACCAGAAGGAGACTTTGTACAAAAGTCGTTTGCTTGACCACCTCTGACCCATTCTTGTTTCTACCGTGAAGCAGTTGTGTTTGCATGGCTGTGTTTCATTTTGAAGGGTGGGATATGGCAGTGAATTTACAGGGTACACAGGAATAACACCTGAGTCTTCAGGAATGACAACGCATGGGGGGTATCATGGGCGAAACAGTACACTTTGTTATGCTCATGTCTATAGGTGACGTTTACCACTTTTCATCAGGGGGGCCGTTCGCTTGTTTACCATTTTAAGTAGCATGAAAAATTATGTATATTTACATAAAGACGGTTTACACCCTTAGTTCTCAAAATGGTTCAGGTGGACCCTTAGAGTCCACGGGAGACTAGACTAGAGGGGTTTACGTTGGCGTTAAAACAATGATATCTAACCCCCATTTCAAGGTCCACGAAAATTTATTTGCTTTCATGAGCGACCGGAAGATGATTGGGGTTGCCTAATCGAGGGTCGACCACTCTATTATCTCAGTAACAGTTTTAGGCCGTCGATCTTACTTTATGTCCCCTAATTTGCACTTTATCCCCAAATATATGTATATATACTCTATGTGTCCAATAGAGCAGGCATCCCGCCACCTATATCATATAGTGAGGACGGGATAACTAAACTAATGCATGTCCAACTATAAAAAGATAGTGAAGAACGTAATGGCAACGCATGGGGAGTATCATGGGCGAAACAGTATACTCTGTTATGTCCATGGTACTGCTCATGTCTATATGCGACGGTTACCACTTTCCATCAGGTGGGCCGTCAGCTTGTTTGCCATTCTAAGTTGTATAAAAAAAATGTTAGCTTGACTTCACCTATACGTAGTAGGCAGATAATATTTTAAGATGCTCAGCGACTCTTACTACGATACTCTTACCGATAATATATATATATATATATATATATATATATATATATATATATATATATATATATATATATATATATATATATATAATAACAACAGGATTAAACAGGATTATTTATTTATATATATTACAGGATTAGAATTAGGATAATAGTAATTTTTTTTATAAACTACCGCCCAGTTCGGAATGCAATTTCAGCTGGGAAGAACAGGCAAGAAACGCAGTTGTTGCTTTTTTTTCTAATAACAGTTAAGTGTACAACAAACAAACAAAATACATTGGTGCCGTATATTTTGCATAATAAATTAACCACTGAAAACAATGAAATGTTTTTTTTTTGTACAACTTAGAATGGCAAACAAGCTGACGGCCCACCTGATGGAAAGTGGTAACGGTCGCCTATAGACATGAGCAGTACCATGGACATAACAGAGTATACTGTTTCGCCCATGATACCCCCCATGCGTTGCTATTCCTGAGGACTCAGGTGTTATTCCTCTGTACCCAGTAAATTCACGCCATATCCCACCCTTCAAACCGAAACACAGCCATGCAAACACAACTGCTTCACGGTAGAAACACGAATGGGACAGAGATACCCAAGCAATCGACTTTTGTACAAAGTCTCCCTCTGGTGCCTCTGGTGGTGGTCTAAACGTATTTTTAAAATTACATACTTTAATTTGATATCATAGCGAAATATTTATACAAAGGACCAATATGAATTAACCTTAAAATAGATTTAAGCTAAAATTATTATAAATTTAATTTATGACGTTCTGCAAAACGTTAATTTCGCAAAATTATCAGATTCAAATATTAGTTAAAGATATTATAAAAATAATGCCTCAGATTTTTATGTGAAACTTTTTTTTTTTATACAACTTAGAATGGCAAACAAGCTGACGGCCCACCTGATGTAAAGTGGTAACCGCCGCCTATAGACATGAGCAGTACCATGGATATAACATACTTAGAATGCCATACAAGCTGGTCACTCACCTGACGAAAAATTGTAACCGTTGCCTAGACACATGAATAGTAACATGGGCGTAACAGAGTATACTGTGTCGTCTTTGACAAACGAGTACTCGTACTTTATCATTGTATATTCCTGCTGCGATATATGTAGGATGACAAATTGTTAGTTTATAGCCCGACAGATGGCGCCTGTGTTATACAAACTTAATGTATTGTGTAAATAATTAATAATTTCAGGAGCCATGGCGTGTCTGAACAACTCGTGTCCTGCATATACCCAGGGCCCGGCGGGACTTGCTTTCACAAGTCTTGTGACACAATTGCTTGCAGCGCAATGCCTAATTACTGAGGACTGGCCGGACGATCACCATTACAGAGTGGCAGGTAATATTCATGACGATGATTACTAGTCATTGAATGAGTATGAATGAGTATGAATGAGTATACTTTATTTGCATTATACAATATAGGGAATAAGCGAGACAATTTACAAACACAACGATACAATTGTATAAGCACAGTAAGGCGATCTTATTGCTTTTGATTCATAATGAATATATTTAATACATAAGAAGGATAAGCAAGCTAATGTGGCAATGGACTTTTTAATGGGTGATAATGGAATGGTAACCCCACCCGCGCTATCGGTATACACTGGCGGAGCATCAGTGAAGGATGATAGGTGAGGATGAAGTAGGTCAGTTAGCCCATCGTGACGAATTCAACAAGAATTGTTTACGATGGTTTCCAGGGGGAAACACGTGGAGGTCGACCTAATAGGGCATATTGCTAGCAATGGGGCTATAAAACTCTATTCTTTTTTTTATACTACTTAGAATGGCAAACAAGCTGACGGCCCACTTGATGGAAAGTGGTAACCGTCGCCTATCGACATGAGCAGTACCATGGACATAACAGAGTCCTCAGGAATGGCAAACATGGGAGGTACCGTGGGCGAAACAGTATACTCTGTTATGTTCATGGTACTGCTCATGTTTATAGGTGACGGCTACCACTTTCCATCAGGTGGACCGTCAGCACATTTGCTATTCTAAGTTGCATAAAAAAAAATCCGAAATTATATAACGGATGAGAATTAATACCATGATAATAAAATAAATGACATAGGGTTTTAATTCGAAATTTCCTTCTTTTATACTCCCTGCAATGCATTTGAGGTTGTCACTCTGTCTAATGTAGAGTTGTCCAACACTGCGTTTGCCCGTACGGGGCCATCACTAAAGAATCTTCTCCATCCGGGAGTAAACTGGGAGTGAATCCATACTTGCACAGGAATGAATCATGAAAATGAGGCATATCATCCATATCTAAAAGCAAATGTGCTTAATATACCTGGAGATACTTGCTAATAGTTAAAGAATCGTAAGAATGGAACAAACACAATGGAAATCATGATAGAAAGTATAGAATTTTACTTTTCAATTATATACACGAAAAGTATCGTCGAATTGACAACTTCCATAAACTAATTGCAGATGGCGACACCTTCGACTTCATAATTATTGGTTCTGGCACAGCGGGATCTATACTGGCCAACAGGCTGTCACAAGTTCCAGATTGGAAAGTGTTGCTGGTGGAAGCTGGGGGAGATCCACCTATGGAATCTATAGTTGGTTTCTCTTCTTAAGCATTATAGATATTCATATGGATATAAAATATCAGCAATGGAATATTGTTTATTTAGCTCTTTGTGTTTGTGATCAAAATAAGCAATATTTTGACCATAAACAAGTAATATTAATTTTTTCCCAAATAAAAAAAAAAAATAAAAAAAAAATACAATAACATATTAACAAAGATTTGAAAATGAATTTAATTTAATTTTACAGATTCCTAATTTCTCCGGCGCTACACATAGAAGTCATCACGCATGGCAATATTTTACTGAGCAAGATGAAAATACTAATAGAGGTTGTGTTTATGGCAGGTCCTTCTGGCCTCGAGGAAAGGTATTAGGAGGGACCGGATCTATAAACGGTATGCTACACATGACAAGTAGTCCAGCAGACTACGAACCGTGGCATTTGGATGATGGTGACGGTTGGGACTGGTCGAATATAAAAAAATATTTGAAGAAAAGCATTAAAGTTGTAGATCCATTTATACTCAATAATTTGGAATTAAAAGAACACTATGGCACCGACGGTGAATTTATTATTGATCAATTGAACTGTACCCATACAAACATAGTTGATAAATTAGTTGATGGATATAAGGAATTAGGTTTGAAATATTTGGATAATTTGAACGGACTAACACAAATGGGAGTAGGAAAAATCAGAGGGGCAAATTATAATGGACGTAGAGTTAGTAGCGCAACTGCTTTCTTAAACCCCATAAAAGATCGTCAGAATCTATATATTTTAAAGAATACATTTGCATATAAAATTGTTATTGATGAGAATAATATGAAGACTACTGGTGTTAAAGTCACGCTTCAAAACGGCGATACGGCGACGTTTCATCCAAACAAAGAAATTATAGTAAGTGCAGGTGCAGTTAATACACCTTTACTTCTTATGATTTCCGGTATTGGTCCTAAATATCATCTAGAAGAATTAGGTATAAATGTCGTGGCTAATTTACCTGTAGGAGAAAATTTACAAGATCATGTAAGAATACCGATACCAGTAACTGTAGATACTGGAGCTAAACAGATAGATGAAATGTATTGGAATAAAGCAGCTGCCCAGTATTTATTAGACAGAAGTGGTCCACATGCAACAAATTATGATCAACCGAATATAAATGCTTTCTTGTCCGTTCCAGATGGGAAAACGTTGCCCGATGTACAGATAGATCACAATTATTTTGTTCCGAATACATCTTATGTCTACAAAATGTGTACAGATATTATGTCATTTAAGCATGAAATTTGTGAGCAGTTTAAAATGTTTAATTCAGACAAGGAAATGATTATATTTTTTGTGTCCTTGTGTAGACCTTATTCAAGAGGCAAAATACTATTGCGTTCGAATAATGCAACAGATGTTCCAAAAATCTATCCGAATTATTTCAGCGATAAAAGAGACGTCGATATTTACATCCAAAGTTTGAAGAAAGTTATGGAGATTGTTGAAACTAACACTTTTAAAGGAATCAAAGCAGAAATAAAAAGGATTAATTATGAAGATTGTGATGCCACTGAGTTTGGGAGTGACGCGTATTGGGAATGTATGATTAGAACGGTAACTTATAATGTATACCATCCCGTGGGGACCGCCAAGATGGGGAGTTATGATGATCGGACTGCAGTTGTGGATGGAAAATTGAAAGTTAAGGGTATTGAAGGTTTGAGAGTTGTTGATGCTAGTATAATGCCTACTATAACAAGTGCTAATACTAACGCTCCAGTGATGATGATCGCGGAGCGAGCTGCCGATTTTATTAAACTAGAATATGGCGTTATAGGCAATAAAAAAGATGAATTGTAGTATATTTCATTGTCAGTTATTTTAGTATTTAAATTTTTTTACAGGAATTACCTGCCAAATTATCAATACTCGTTCTAACAGGAACTATTTATCATTAATCATCGTCATTCTTTGAATTTAATGAAATTATTATTTTAGGCTCAGCATTTGCCATTATACATTTTTATCCCGAAATTTACATCGCTCTCTTCGGGATGAGAGATGGTATACTAATTCCCGGTAGAAAAATTATTAATACATATTATTGTAAATATCAAACTGCAGTTATGTCCATATAATGTTTTTTTTTTTAAATTCATATCCCGAAAAAAACTACTGCACAAAATACATGCAGTTTTTACTGTTACGTTTTTAAGAGACAAATTTAAAATTTGATCATTGTTAAAAAGACTTTGTTCACTGCTGAACATAGTCTTTTCCTATAAGGGGATAATTCTCTAATAATTTTGCCAGTAGTTGTCACGCTTGGCAGTCCGATTGCAATTCGTATTTAGTCTTTCGTGATGTTTTAAGAGAGACGCCCATCTCTTGACCGTTAAGTTCCCTCAGTCCTCCCTTAAGACACCTACGCGAAAGGGAAGTGTTCGCACAAGTACAATGTAAAAACAAAGAGGTGGACACCACTTGGTTTCTACATTGTGTCCGTATCAAGTCGGGACGGGTCGCTAGTTTATGTATTAAATAATACATATTTTCAAAATATTTTCACTTATTTCCCGATATAACGTATATTATTAGCAAGGAAAATAAACAATTACACGTATGTAGAGTCATAAAACTACACGTAAATTAATTAGATATACCGCGATAACATAAATTTAAATAAACTGTACATAAAAAAGCAAATTTATGGGGCAATAAAGTAGTTCCTTGTGTTTTCAAAGTTTGTTACTATTTTGCGCCAAATAATGCTATTCACTAAATTAATTATATTGTTATTAATTCCTTAAATGCTTTGATGACTGACCTCGATTTTGGAGGCAAAAATAGACGTTCACATTCTTTAAAAACTTTCAGCAAATATATAGTATTTTTATTAATTTATTTATTTATAATATATATAAATATTTTTGGTGAGCTTTACAAATTTTATGCCCATGAATTACTATCTTTTTTTTATACAACTTAGAATGGCAAACAAGCTGATGGCCCACCTGATTGAAAGTGGTTGGAGTATACCGAAAAAGTTGGATGGAGTATACTGTTACGCCCATGATACCTCCATGCGTTGCCATTCCTGAGGACTCAGCTGTTATTCTTCTGTACCCTGTAAATTCACACCACATCCCACCCTTCAAACTGAAACATAGCCATGCAAACACAATTGCTTTACGGTTGAAACATGAATGGTACAGAGGTACCCCAAGTAAACGACTTTTGTACAAAGTTTCCCTCTGGTAGTCTAGCTTATCAGGCAAACATTTTGTATTTTATCCTAGTATATTATCAAGATAAAAATATAGTCAGATCAAATAATACACATAATATATGTACAAGTACATAATTATGTAACGGGAAATTAATAACCACTGTGTTTTAGTTCTTACCGACAATTAGAAAGAAAGAAAGAAAGTTTCGACTTCATTTGGAAGTCTTCTTCAGGGGACGTACGTCGCTTTGCGTCTCAACGTCTCGCCTCGCACACACGTATATAGGTATCGGGTAAAAAAAATGGGCATAAGTTTTATATATTAATATTCCATTAAAATTTATTCGACGGTTCCTGAGATTAGTGCGGACATACGTGACACTGACACGGATTTTCATATTTTTAAGCTAGCTTTTGTCCGCTACTTCGTACTGTTAATGTGGACCACGTGTATAATAAAAAAAAAGCAAAGTTTTGTCACACACGCCAAAGTTTTTTATATATTCTTTAAACAGTGTTTTTTACTACACTAATTTACTAGTTCACTTGACTCGAGCCGCGTGAGATCCTTGTTTCAAGGTTTTACTGATCCTGGATAGCAAATTTGACTAGTTAATCTTACTGGCCAGACTGACGGGCAGGGACCAGGTCCGTAGTTGGGCAGCAATTTGCCTAGATGAATTACGACTGCCGAATCCAGGTTTAGGATCAGTTTATATGAGCATATTGCAGATTTGAATGGAAATAGACGATTTTGCAGTTCGCCAATACCATGCCTATATGCTTAGGTTGTAACAAGTGGTAAAACTCTTAGATTAAGTACGTTATACTAAATGTATGGTAAAAGAAACAAAATGAGGTACTTTTTATGATGTATTAAAATTGATCATATATTACATTTCAAGTTAGATCTTCAGGGACATAACCGTGAACCGCATCCAATTTGGTGCAGTAGTTTTTACATGACATTATCGGAACAAACATATAGATAGACAGACAAAATTTCAAAAATGTAATTTGGCTCCTATTACTCTTATTAAGACCCCCCCCCATACATATTTTTCTAAAATATTTCCTATGTACAAACATCACACTCAGTTATAATTTTATTATATTAGTAACATAATAAATATTCGTTGATAATACCGCCTACTTGGTATTGTACATCGTCATTTGACATGACAAGACAATGCGGACTGGCTTGAGTAGTTATCTCCTGTCAAAACCACTGCAAGCTATATGTTCAGTCATCTGGTTGTAATTACATTTCTTTATACAACAAAATTGGCTTCACCATTGATAAGTGTTAAAGATAAAGGAATTCTTCCATTAGACAAAAATTCTATTGCAATCAAATTCTTTATCGACATTGAAAATAAAGACCATTCAGGTACTTGTAAAATTATATGTCGACCCAAAAACTGTTGTTTGTTTAATAATGCAGAAGAAGACTGTTACGCAGCGAATATTTATGGAGAAAACGTGGACGTTTTGAAGCCAAAACAATTGAATAGGTTATTTTTCATTTATCCGTCTGTGCATCAACACGATTTAGTTGGGTATTGTGAGTTTGTACTAAATTATCAGTGTGTTGACAGAAAATACAAAAGGCAAGAGATAAAAATAAATTTTGATACAATTTTATACAGTAAAAGAAAATCTAATAATTTGATTAGTGAATACGTAGGTGATCAAAAAGTAACTTCTTGTGAGACTTTAGATCAAAATTCTTTAGATGACTGTAAACCGATTGATTGTGATCTCAAATATTTTGGAACGCGTCCGTTTTTCGATACTAGAATTAGTGAGTGTGTTGAAATTCCTGAATGCACGGGTGATGTTGATAAGGAATTGCCAGATGTAATATATGTTCCGAATATTAATATTTGTAGAGACCTAGACCACCCATTAACAATTGGTGATATATTTGCGATAAGTACAAGACTTGGTGTGGTGATGGAGCCGAGAAAGTATGAAAGCACTATGACAGTGGAACTAAAATCCAACTGCACTACGATATCCCAAAATCTAAATTTACTGCGAGATATGATGTATGGAAAACTTTGTCCAGTAACTAATGGAGAAATTACCGATTACAGTAAATGTTGTAAATCAGCCATTTTGTCTATAATTGGCTGCATTGCAGCCGTGTGTGGAGTCTTCATTTCATGTCTGTGCTGTATAAATACAACAGTATGGCTTTATAGAAAACAAAGACATCAAGATTGGAACAAATGTTGGAGAAATTTTTGCAAAAAATTTAAAAAAATGAATAAAAATAAAAATTTTGAAGGCACTGGAGTGAATAATAATGTTAAAAATGCTTTATTACGCGATGTTATAGTAAGAGATATACCAATAGAGCTTAGATATAGTGTTGTTAATATATGCGAAAGAATAGATAAAGAAGTGGGAAAGAAACGAAGATATAGAAAAACGGATATTGGAAGTCAGGTAAGCTTATGCAAGGAAGAGAGAGATGTGAAGCCACATGGAAGTGCTTCCTCAACCAGCTCCTTTGAAGAGAAAGGCAAGACAGTACAACTTACTGAATAAAATTGTACTTTGTAAAACTTTGTTTGTTTAAAGCTATATATTTAGGTATAATGATACATAGGTAAAAGTATGACCTACTTAGCTTACTGAATGCATCGCATCAATCTTGCCTTCATCAATCTTGTTAAATATTTGACACAATATGGATACAATTATGGGCCGCTGCGATGGATCAGCGATCAATATGACTTAATTTGCGTACAAAATGAAATATTTTTACAATGTTAGTTTTAACAGATGAACATTGGAAAAATGTATTTTTATTTATTTATTTATACTTTATTGTACACAAAAATTAAATTGTTATAATTAATTTTAAATAAAGATGTACAACAGGCGAGCTTAACTCTGCGTTCAGCAGTTCGGCAGCGTTCCTCTTAAAATATTTCTAAAAGTCCAACTACAGTTGCCAACCCGCCTGCTAAGCGTGGCAACTACTGGCAAAATTTATACTCAGCAGAGGTCAGTTGACGGCTGAAATAAAGTTACGTTTTACTTAAAAGTATCGATGAATATGTAGGAGGCGAAAGAGATGTGTTGCAATTAGAACATTAGGCGTATTACTGCTTCTGTCTATCCTGTATTACAGTAAAAGCTCTTTATTCACGGAGAATACGTTCTGTAAATATGCCGCGAACACATATACCGTGAATATGGACATCCGAAACACTTATACAGCGGCGACAGCATTTGACAACGTACTTTAGGCGTAATTGTAATAAAGTCTGTTTTACTTTTTTATTAGCCTATTTGCCGACACGTTTACAAAGGATACGTAATCCTTTTTAATATAGAAATCAACTTTTTAATCCGCGAATAGTGAAAACGGGAATAAAGGAAGCGTGAATAAGGAGCTTTTACTGTATTTAAAGACATTCCAAGACCTCGAAAGATAGGTGTGATCTATACCTTCCAATGGTATTCCTTCCCATTACTTTGATATTGCCAATAATTTATTCATCTTTCGTATATTTTCACGGATTTCAGATGTTATTTAATGTCACGAGGTGGAATTTATTGGTTCTTAAAACGAAATAAACTGGTTTAAACAGGAAGATATATGTACAAGGTGTTAACGT